TCCATGCACCTCTCAAATAAGACTGCTGGGAACTCTTGCACGCACATCTCAAATAAAGGTCGGCGGGAACTCTTGTGCTGCACCTCACAAATAAAAGTGCTGAGGACTAATGCAGGCACATCTCACATAAGAGTTGCTGGGAACTCTTGCATGCACCGCTCAAATAAGAGCGCAGGGAACTCTTGCACACACCTCTCATATAAGAGTTGCTTGGAATTCTTGCACACACTTCACAAATAAGAGTTATGCATGTGCACCGATATGCCTATCTCTGTGGATGTGCGTTTGCACATGTGCACCCATATATATATATATATATATATATATACATATATATATATATATATATATATATAGCAATTGTTCTTATTTTAACAGCACTTAAAAAATAAATGGAAAAATAAACATTTACTGTGTAAAATAAATGTCTTTTTCATCAATAGATGTATATTGATGTATCTACATATAATAGTAATAATGATAGTCATTAACATTAATTAATTAATAGTAAAATAATATATTTAACTTGGCCAATGTTAGCCTAAGGCACAAGAAATCTTTGAGATGATTGAAAGACAGAAAAAATAATTGTAAATTTTGAACAAGTGAGAAATTTCATTAAATCTGCATTGCAACAACTAATTTTTTATGAACAAAAAAAGAATAAATCAATTTTCAATTTAATGATCATTTTTTTATCTGTTTGGCGTCAAGGTGGGCCAAAGTAACTCAAGCCTCAACCTGTCTTTTGAAATACAATGCCTGATTTTATCAGCTGTCAGCTAAAGACCTGGTTTAATAAAAGTAATTGAACTTGAGTGGCTTGTGCAAGTCAAAAACTGACACATAGGTTTTATGTTGCTTTTACATTTGTTACAGATTTTATTCTTTATAGTTTTTTGTCCAAAGCCATTGGATTAACAAGTGCACAAATTTAAAAACAGTTTCAGTTTTTTAATTGGCAGTCACATAATTGTTGATTCTTGTTCCTGAGAGCATACATTTAGTTGAACTGAATTTTGAAATATTGAAACAAAAACAAATCACCTACTTCTTCTATTATGGCCCTCCACAGCCTCCTATCCCTTGTAGCCCTTAGTAACATTTGCTCCTTTGCTATGCCACTCCCATCCACTATTCAGCCATCAATTGTCATAAGTTTGTCAGGTAGATGGCTTGCTGTCTTTACCTCTGCTGTTTATCTTTGATATGTCCTGTGAGTGTTAAATTCTCCAAGCCCTTCTTTCTCCTTAGGTATCCAAGAAATTCCAGGTATGTCTTACTGATTCTGAATATAAGTGCCTCTTTTGTTTTCAGTTTCCTTAAAACATCTTCATTGCTCTCATGTTCCATCTATGGTATTCTCAGCATCCTTATGTAGAACCATATTTCTGTTGGCTCCAGTTTTCTCTTCATCTGTGAGGAGATTGTCCAACATTCACTGCTATATAGAAGGATTGATATTACATAACAGTTTAAGGATTTTTAGTTTATGTTCATTATTTTCATGAAAAAGTATAGATGTATTTTCAACAAGAATTTTCTAAATTGTGAATGTGGACTGGCATATGCTTGTAAATATTGAGAGATGTTTGATGCATCATTCAAATGAAAAGTCAACCTTCAAGACAACATAGTAGTGGTATGGCCAACATATATATTATTTTTTCTGTTGGAGATACAATCTCCCAAGGGACATTTAAATTTCTATACAATGTTGGTTTTCTGCAACACATTAGTTTGTGGGAAGGAGTCATTATGAATGATTAAATTGGGTATATTGAATTTAGTATAGTATATAATTCATTTTATTTTTTTTAACAGGATCTGTGGTTGATATATTAGTATTTATAGGATATTTTCGTCCTGTTTATAATTACAATGTATTTGAGTGTGATATAAAAGATTAATATGTTTAGGTGTGATTGCAGAAGTATTATATTCTATTTGCTTAATATTAAAACTTCTAATATATATATATATATATATGAAAAATTTCTCAGAGTTAACCTGTAGAAAAAGACAATATTTATAAATGTAAAAGACAATAGGAAAACTGTAATAGTTGCCAACATGTTTTGTCTGACATGGACTTTTTTAAGGCAAAACGAAATGAATTTATTAAACAAAGTAACTAATAATAACAAAACAAAATGTCCTTAGCAACTGGAAGAATTTAGAGAATGCTTATTTTCAAACTGTTAACTGAAATTACGTCAATTACTGTCATGTGTTGAATATTACCCAAATATTAATCTACGCCCAGGCTTTTCCCCTATTTCACCTTTCTTAACAGAATTACTACCCTCCCAAACAAACATACAGAACAGTATCAAGAAATTAAAAGAAAATGGTTGAATCCATCAATACAGCAATAAAAACAATATTTCCACACATGACTTTACCATTTTTAGGTCATCACTTCATCTGCAGATTCACTTAACTGTGATTGGTCAAATTCTTTTAGTCCATTATAGCACATCATAAAATCCAGTATAAATTATAAAAATTAAATTAAGATCAAGTATTAATTAAAGGTTTTCTAAAGACAACTGATATTATAGGTATATAAAACATCCACTATTAATTATAGGTATATCAAAAATCTACTATTAATTATTAATTATAGGTGTTTTTTTTTTTAATTCTGGTATTGATTATAAATTTTTACCAATAGCCCATTAATTCTAGCTGTCCTGAAAATGGGACCAAAAAAAAAAGAAAAAAAGAATAAAGATTTATTAAATTTTATTTTTGTTTCAGCTCCCCAGCACTTTTCCAAAGAGGTTTTTCCCAGCCCATTAATGAATCATTAATCAAACAACTACATGAAAAATTTGAGGAGGTCAAGGAGGACAAAGCATTAACATTGCATGAAACTTTAGAGCGAATGGAAAAGTAAGTTTATCAGACATTTTTTGCCACATTAAAGGTTGTTTGTTTTAAAAATAACCTGCATATAAGGCTGTAAAAGAAGTTAACAGAAACTCAAGCCAAAATGTAAATTTAAAAAAGAAAATATTATTAAATTATAATGAGAAAATGAATCTGATAAAGATCAACACCAAACAATTACAATTTGTATAAAGCAATAATCAACAATTGTTTTAGACAGAGCAGCACAATTATTCTGTTGTCAGGTGGGTAAGTTGTGTGTTGATATATTATTTTACACGGTGTTATTATTTGTTGACTGTAATGGGGTTGATATTAATGACAAATTAAAATGAATAAATCTAGAACAATGACAACAATAAAAACTTGAGATGTGTTGACATAAATAACAAGAATTTATATTTTCTTTTTGTGATGTTAATTACAAAATATTGGCATGGCGTGTGTAAAAATATTCTCACTATCTCTTTTGATTAAAAGTCAGTGCTTACTTGGCTTGGTTCTGAGAATTTCGTTTATAAGGATGGCGTTTGACATGGTTTGGTTCCAAGAATTTCGTTTGTGAGCTTGGTGTTTGACATCATCTGTTTTCAATTTTCCAGAGTGCTGGCAAACGTGTGTTTCTACTGACTACTTGTCTACTATGGGTACCGTAGTCTACTCTACTGACTCTCTTGTGGTGGAAGCGTCATTTTTATAATGGTGAGGGTAGGATAATAGAATATCCTTCTTTTCTATCATCACCAATGACAAGGTTATTTTTAAAATGATGAAATATCCAAATTTATTTTATCATCACTGATGGCAACATTATTTTTATAATGATGAAATATCATCATCATTCTGGAACATAACAATTCCTTTTAAGCAGATAGAAATTTCTTCAAGTCTGAGATATTTTTAAAGAAAAAATTACTCAAAAATAAACACCAGAGGAAAATTGGAAAAGTAAGTCAAAAAGGAAGAATATTGAGCCAAAGTTGGATTGAAATTGGTTATCATATGTTCATGACGATGTCCTTTCTACCAGGCAGGGTGTCTAGAAGTGATATCAATCTTCTGCTGCTTTTGTTGAAGTTATGTCTTTTTCTTTGCTGGCAAGTTTTTTACTTCCTTTAGACAAAATTTTGTAATTTATCAGTTTATATATTTGCTCTCATCTGAAAACACACCTTTTGATGTATTGTTTTGTGTTCATATAATCTTTTATTCAAAAAGTGTGGTTGGTTCTGCACAAAGCCTTCACTACTATAACCAAATCATACGTGCTGGTATCTGGCTGTCAGTTCCTAATATGATGGGAAACTCCACTATATATATATATATATATATATATATATATATATATAATGAAATGGATTAAGTTTGACAATTATTTAATATATTTTCTCTTTTGTATGTTATTTGTATAGATACAATTTATTTAAGTAAATGTTCTGTTTTTTAATTAAACAATATTAATTACATTTACCAGCCTGAATGTTCAAGAAATTTTGTAAAAAATATTTATTCTCTGACAGGAATCGAACCTGTATTGCTGTACAGAAACCATCATTTAATCTGACGTGCTGTACCATTTAGCTACAGAGAAGCGTCTGGTTAGCAAAGTCCAAATTTAAGCAACAATCTTTGACAATTTTTCTTGATCAATCATATCTGCTCACAAAATATATCTTAACATAAACAATGACAGCATATAATGAAATGGATTAAGTCCCACAATTATTTAATATATTTTCTGTTTATATGTTATTTTTTATAAATACAATTTACTTAAGTCAATGTTCTGTTTTTTAATTATACAGTATTAATTACATTTACTAGCCTGAATGCTCAAGAAATATATAGTTAAATTTTTCCTACCCTCTTCTGTGCTGTATCAAGTGAGAATATAGATCCCTGACATGCACACACACAAAAAACATAATTTCTGGCATTGTGGGGTGTTTATAGCTTATTTTTAGCACAAGATCACAAGTATAGGGCACCCAGTGAGGACCAAACACACTACTAATGATGTACAATGACAGGTGGTTGACGATTACACCATGATCAACTATCCCTCTCTCGTCTTTCATGTTCTATCCTCCATCAGTATTATCATGTTGAAACACCAGTTCTCATACAATCAAAGAAGTTAAGCAATGTCAAGCCTGGTTAATATCTAGATGGGTGACCACTTGAGAATACCAGGTGCTGTAAGCTTGGATGTGCAAGTGATAATTGGTTGAAATTGGAAATCAGAGAGCAGAGTTCTAATTCCAGTTGTCTTTGTTATATTCATGTGCACACAGATTCTCTTGGGAAAGGGTATGAATCCAACTATTCTACCCACCAGCTATGGGTTAAATAGTAGGACTTGTGTTAGTAAAGCATTATTATCTCCAAAAACTTCTTACAATCTAAAAATATGTTTTTGCCTTTAAATAACCTGTAAAGGGTTGATAAGCTGTAAAAAAACAATCAATCAATCAAGTGGATTCATAACCTTCCCAAGTTCATAAGTAAATATAACAAACCCAACTGGAATTGGAAATTGGCTCTTCAATTTCCAATTCTGAGCCATTGTCCATTACACCACTGACACATCCAAGCTTACAGCACCTGGTATTCCCAAGTGGTCACCTATCTAGATACTGACCAGGTTCGATGTTGCTTAACTTCATTGATCATACAAGAACCAGTATTTCAATGTAATATAACCATAAACCATTTCCTCATACAAAGTGGGTGTTATAATTTATAATTGATCACTGCCTGTTTATTGGATTTCTATATTAGAAAAAAAATGTAAAGAAATTAATTAATTTTGAATTTAATTTTGAATTTTCTTCAGGGAATGGCTGTTGGTTTGTGAAAGCAAGTACCGGGCTATGTCAATAGATTATACAAGTTATCATCAAGCCCTTGTTGAAATGCAAAACAGAACATCTGATCTCCTTCATGAATCAGAGAATGAAATCAAAAGCAATGGAAAAAACTGGTGAGTTACTTGCCTATGGATAGAAAATTAATTGACCAAGTACAAAAAAATTAGACAAGATAAGGATATGTTGTCTCACGGGATTTATTTGACCTATACAGAGAGGTAATCCAAAGAAAACTAGGAGTTCTAGCAGGATTTATTATTTGTAAACACAATCTTAACAGAATAAGATATGGAGATTAGGGCAGATTGATTTTGGAACTGTGATATTGGACTCAATTTGCAAGTTGGGGTTTGATGTGATAAATAATGATACAAAATGTTTTTCCAAATTGTTACTGTTTTTTGAGAAAATGAATTTGAAGATTTTTAGGTTCAAAATTGTAGCATTGGAATTTCATTCCATTGATCAGTGAAAACTCTATAGTCTTATAAAATTTATAATTTTCTGAAGCTTTACAAATTTTATATGGACAAGATACATGGCACAAGCACATTATTACTAAATCATTGTGCCATCAAATAAGACCTTTTACATCAAAGGAAATTTATACTGAACAATTTAGCTATATTATGATGTAATATATTATACAGTGCAGTAGTTTTAGCGCAATTTTCAATAAAAAAACTCAAATTTAAAACATTTTGTCTCAAAATTTGTGCCCAACAGTATTATGGGATTATATACAATTTTATTTGTCTTTTTTATTTTTATTAATTATGATCTAACAAATGATCCAACAAATCTTATTCATTGAGAAGACTTTTTGTAATCTTTTACAATTTTTACACAGTTTTTACTTATTGAATACAGTAAAAAAAAATACATATTTTGATTGTGGTGATTATTAGAATTCTGGTTTGAATATATTTTCCATACAATGTATCGAATACAAAATATATCAGCTTTATTTGGATTCTTGAAACAGTAAAATTTTGAAGTCAGTTTGTAAGCAAAAACCTGTGGAAATTTGGTATTTCTGTACATTTTTCAGACAATGTTTAAAACTAAATGCTCAAAAATTGGTAAAATTTACAAATCTATATTTTGATGTCAGTACTTATCACATCAAACTCTGGCTTTCACACTGAGTGTAATGTTGATTTTCTAAATCAAGGGAAAAATCAATTTGCCCTAATGTAGATGATACTGTGTTAATGACAAACATGGAAGGAAAACTATAAGAACTCCTAGACAAGGTAGGAAATGAAAGCAGGAAGAAAGGACAAAGCAAAGATTTTATGAAGAAAATGTCTCGCAAGAGCGACTGCCCAAGATTTAAGCTACAAATTGGAAACCTCAAAACCAGGCCTTTAGAAAGATTTAACTATCTGGATATGTGATTCTACAAAAGGAGGCTGGAAATAACATAGATGGGACATGTGAGCAATGAGGAAGTTTTAAGGAAAGTGATAATACATAAAGGACTCATGCTTAGAACCAGAAAGAAATAGTTGGAATATCTTCACATATGAAGAGAAGACTTGAAGCAGCAGAGATGTGATTCTAGAGAGGTTTGCTGAAAATACCATAGATGGAACATTTGAGCAATGAGAAAGTTTTAAGAAAAATAGAAACAAAGAAGACATTTAGAATAAGAAAGAGACAGTTGAAATTTCTGAGAGACAAAAAGAGGAAAGAAAAACTTGGAGAATTTGACACTCACAGGACATATTGAAGGTAAGCGAGAGAGAAAAAGCCAGTAACCTGCCTAACAAGTTGGTATAAATAGGTAGCAGAACATGGACTAGGAGGGATAGTAAGGGGATAAACATTGCTAATAGCTACAAAGAATAGGAAGTTGTGGAGAGCCTTGATCATTAACTGATGCACTACACACATATTCAAGGTTTAGTTTATATTGGAATCAAAATGTAAACATTGGTCAAAGTTGATCAAAAACAATGAACTTGTCAGCCACTTCTAAAATAGTTAAGATCCCAACAGGAGTGGATAGGTTTGCTTATTGTCCAGTTCGCACTCCTCCCCAATCATTTGAACAGGAGTAGAGGTTTATCCTTTGTTTTCTGTTTAGGATTGGGTTTCCGGTTCCTTCTAAAGTATACTTCTATGCTATAGTTCTAATGTCTTCAACTGAACTCTGAAATGATATTCACTAAATAAATCTTGACCTCTTCAAGTCTAGTGTTATCTTTCCTGCATAGCTCCAAGAACTTCACTTCTTGCCCTTTATTATGCTCAGACAACACAACACAGTAACCCTCTACCATGAGTGGCTCTTGGGCCTTGTATTGGGTGAACATCAGTAAAAAATGAAAAAAGAAAAGGTAGATTAAACTGAATATCTGTCTTAATGTGAACAAACAACTGGGTCCCTCTCAGTATTTCACCGACCGAACAAATCAATCTCCACCTTGTGTTTCTCTTTTTTTCCATTGTGTATTAGGTTGTCACACATGAAATGATGCACTTTATAGGAAATGAATAAAATGTTTCTGAAATGTTAAATAACCAATTTATTTAGATGAAATAGGCACCATGTTGATGAATGACTGTCCTCCAATGTATCTCTAAATTCTTGATCCCATCTTTAAAAAAAATTCTTATCCTTTGATGGCTAAACTGTTCAAATGTTTTATTTACCTCTTCCTTACTGGAGAATGTTCTCTTGTGTATGAAAAGCTCAAAATGCTTAAATAAGTGATAATCAGTAGGAGAGATATCAGGTAAATATGGAGGATGGGGCGAAATTTCATAATTCAGGCTCTGCAGCTTTTGGACACTTGATTGAGAAGCAGTGTACAACCATGCAGCAAAATTGGGCCACCCCTATTCACAAATGTTGGATATATCTTTTTCAATTTTTTGTGCATACACTCAATTTCTCCACAATATGAAGATGCTGTTATTGTTTTCCCTTGAGGCAAGAATGAATAATGAATAACCCCTTTGAAAGACCACCATACAGTAACCATTAACTTTTTAGGATAGAGTGGAGGTTTTGGGTATTGTTTTGGTGATTCATTTGCATCTAACCACTGTTGTCAAAGAATATCCATTTCTCATCACATAAAAATGGTTCTTTTTCTCAGTTTGTACTCGTACAGTAAGATTACTCAACATTGTAATCATTTTCATTGCGCTTAAGTATAACAACATATTGATAGAAAAAAATTATCTGGAAAGAAGTGTTAAGAAGAAGTCAAAATATTTTATATATTAAGGAGATTACATCATTAGGCAACCCAAATCAACAATGAACCAAAAAATGCGTCGTTTCATGTGTAACAACTTAATACAAAGACTGGAAAAGACTCGCATGTTCTAAGAAACAGAAGATAAAATCAATAACAAGAAATGAAGACAAGAATCCAGTTCTCAATAATTTGGCATTGTATATGTTGGCATACAAGGTGGCCTTTTATCCTTAAAAATCTCCCCAAAACTAGGGAGCCATCTTATACTCCAGGTATAAATGTGAACCATAAATCCTATGGTTTATGGTAAGTTGTTATTATGAGAGATTTTTAACTGCAGGCTAACCCCTGCCTCACCTCTTTTTTTCGATGATGTTGAACAAAAAACAATTAGTTATGTGTCTCAACAAAACGTTTAAAGATTGGATTCAAGAACAATGAAACAAATGGACAGTTAGTGGGGGAAAGTCATTCAGGCTATTATAATAGCTTACCAAAAACACAGCACCCACTCATGACATATTGTAGATTGTGGTAGTTAATTGACAATATCTCCCCACCATAGTATATGCTTGTTAAATTTATTTAATAAATTCAGTACAATACATTTTAAAATATGATTTGTACAGCGAATATAGTCTGAATTATTTTAAAATTTTTGGCTCGTTTTGTATGGCCAGTCACCTTGTACATTAGCATATACGGTACATGTAATAACCATTTTAGTTGTTGCTGTTAAAGCCCTCAAGTGATGTGGTTTTCTGTTATCTGGTACATTTTTTCAATGATGTTGGACAGAAACAAAACTGAATATGTGTCTCAAGAAACTGTTTGATGATTGCATTCAAGAACAGTGAAACTAGTGGAGAAAAGTCATTCAGGCTACCGTAATAGCCTGCCAAAAACACACCACCCACTCATAAGGTATTGTAGGTTGCGGTAGTTAATTGACAATATCTTCCTACTGTTTTTCTCATTAGAATTTGAGTGAAAAGAAAGTATGTTTACTGAATTTATTTTAAAAATTTAGTACATTTTAAAATACGATTTTTTGGGGGTGCTGGGGAGTATTGTCTTATATGTGAATATAACCTGAAACCTACATTTTAACTCGAAAA